AACTTATTTATCATTATGTGAAAAAGAATGTCAGATACACATTTTTCCCAAACAAAAGACACAAGACTACAGAAGAATAAATCATGCTTATGTTTGTGTGTTGACTCAGTTGGGACTATACTAGATGAAAAAAATTGATGTACAGGAGAAAAATAATTTGAATTCAGTGCAGAATACCTGAGAGTCTTACTGCTTTATATTCCATTATGTTTTCAATTGTCACCTGCTGCCTGAATTTTGTGTTTTCCTTTACATAAATAAAGACATTTCTTCCATAAATTGATGCATAAGAGGAACAAATTGTACATAAAAAAAAAATCACTAGAATGCGGGACATGATGTGTTTGATGCGTCTCATCCCACCACGTTCACACAGAATCTCTGACTGCAGATGAGAACAGCCGAGATAAATGTTTTACATTTTGCTAGTGATCAATGTGTTTGCTGCTTTACAACGTTGTGGCAGAGACTCATTACCATCCGTACTGCTGTCATGTCACCTCCACGGACGCACACATTATTCTCTGTCATATTTTACTTTGCTGTGCAGTTTGTGGCCACATGAGTGGACACACGAACGCACAAAGCACCGTCCGTCCCACGTACAGCCAAACAACCTTGACTTGTTCTGATTTCTGATTGCTATGCAAACACGCTTATCATCCAAACCCAAAGTATAGGAAAGAACAGTTGGTCCTATTCAGAAGTAATGATAACAGTTTATTCAGGACAGAGATTAAAAGCTGCCTTTCTACTCCTCATGAGACTGAATGGCACCGATGATTCCTCACAATAATTTATGGTGTTTCCTCAGAACAGCCGCCGTGACAAGATTAAAGGCGGATCTATTTGTTTCAAGAATATGTTTTCCCTGTCGACTCCACCGGTGAAATATTTGGTACCTGCGTGTTCAGGCTGAAATGTAAAGGCAGCGCTTCCGTCAAGGACGTCCCCCAAAGTCAAGACATTTTGACATCCCTTCCTTTTAAACAGGGAGCTGTGCTAAAATTAGTTCCTCTGAACCAGGATCGCATTAGATGGTTGGGGAATAAACAGAACTAGATTTAATGTTCTCACAGTTGTGTTAATACAAAGTGTGTGTGCGTGTCTTTTGTGTCCTCAGATGCTGCAGGAGGTAGTAGCTAAAACACTCAAACACCATGGGATCAGCGCCGAGCATCGGTGCTTTGAGGCCTGCAGCAAAAGACTGTTTGATATCTCCAAATTCTATCTCAAGGTTTGTCTTTTTACTGCCCTCACAGAGTCGGTGTTGTCCTTTTGTCTGACGGTTGCTTTATTTGTGTGCCGCTGCAACCAGGACGGGTGTCGTGTTTTGTTATGCATCATTGTTCCAAATTATCACAATAATAGGAGCCATTTGAAAACAGCATTCTTCTGTTATTGCCAATACACACATTTTCGTGTTATTTCTTTTGTGCCCTCTTGTGACTCTTAATGAGGTGTTTTTGTTTGATGGAGTATAAAAGCGGAGACAAAACTGCCCCAATTTACCTGCAGTCGTGGAGGAAGAGTAAAGTCGCTTTACTTACGTGAAAGTCATGCAGAAATCGTACTTTTTATGCAGTTAAGGCCAGAATTATACATACACGTGCCAGATTGTGCTTTACAGTGAGTTTTTATTGGATAAATATGTTTGTTTTTGGCTGGAAATGACATAAATAAGTGACATAAGATGCTGAAAAACATTTTCACATTCCCACCATGTTTGACCGTGAAGATGATATTCTTGAGTTTAGTCTTTCTTCTTTCTTTCGCTGAACTAAATCCACGTCAGACACATCCATTTTTATCTCATCCAGCCACAGAACTGAAGACCAAAAGCTTCCTTTTGTCCAGTTAAAAATGTCTGCGTCTGTCTGAAGACGTTGGTACCAGAAGTGCTCAGATTCATCAGGATGTTCTTGGTGCTGATCCGTGGATTCTTCTTGTTCTTGTCTGTTCAGGGCTTACTTTTGGCTTTCTTCCACATCTTTAGAGAGTTTCCGCAGCGTGGAACTCCTTGTGCTTTTCGATGATACTTGAAAACACTTGGGTATGACTGTATTGGAGCCTTTTCACGTTTTGTGAGCAGCCACAATGTGAAACTTTGTCAGTGATGGACTCTAACTACAGCTCACTAAGCTGTTTGGTTTCAGCCATGACATGTAATTATCTAGTAGCTGACTGGAGAACTTGTGAGTGAGCTGTTCTCAGTTTATAGTGTATTAAAAGGCTCTAGAACATGGCAGACATGACCAGGACCGTTTGGAGCGGTATAGAATTTGCATTTTCCACAAAGTTCGACAAGTTGTATAGGTGTGGACATTTTAAATACAATTTTATGAAATATGAAGAATAGAAATAGTCCAAATTCATCATTAGCATCTCTAGCTCAACGTCTTCCCATTTTTTTTGTCACTTGTTTACGTCATTTCTACCCAAAAGAAACCTACTGGTCAAACAAACTATAAACCAAAACATGGCATGGATATGAATAACCTTCTGTCAAACTGTGAGTATTATTACAGTATTATTTTCTTTGGATAGCATTCTTTTTGTTTTGTTGCGCTGTGGGGAACTCGAGTTTATATTCAACCAGCAGGCAGCTGGAAGCATCAGTGCTGTGGTTTACTTGCCAAGATTTAATTAAACCGAAACACACAGACGTCTGTATGAATAATCAACTTATTCTGTCTACATGCAGTCCATCCTTCAAAAGTATTGGTGGTTGTTGATTTCATATTTGTGACTCGTCTGCAGGAAATCAGTTGCATTGCACCTTGGGTTATTATGCGTAAACAAAAGCGGCGTGTTGCTACCACATGATGCGAATCACGGGACAGGATTGGCTGGCAATGACACAGTCCACGGCTTCTTTCTGGTGTTACTGTTCATGCATGCTGATGGCATTTGACAGCGATATAGGTGTATTATATGTTACCTACGTGATCAAAGCAATAAACCCGAAATCAATATTTTGTCATGTGTTAACGTAATTGGGGCTGAATATAGCCCGAGGCGCAATGCGACTGATTGCGTGCAGATGGGTCACATTTGTTTGGGTTGGATGATGGACAAACTGCTACTACATGATGGATTTTGTCTAAAAAGTTAGGTTCTTGTAGCTGTAGTGGACTAAAACATACAATATTTCCCTGTGAAATGCAGTGAATTAGAAGTATATTGTTATAAAAAAATGAAAAGTGTGTCAAAACGGTAATTGAGTAACTTACTTCCAGCACTACTTGCTAGTAAAACCTCATTTTACCTCGTCTCTGCTGTTGTACCTGGAAGCCGCTGATCTGTGTGATGTGACTGCAGCTCAGTGAGTCAATATGATCTTTGTGGTCTGATCTTAGGATCTGAAGACGTCTCGAGGTTTGCATGATGAGATGAAGAAGGCAGCCGGCAGCAACGTTAAACAGGTGATAATACCAGACGTCTGAGCTTCGTCGCTTGATTTACTTTTTCGAATTCACACTTGACGTCTCTTTTGTCTGCTGCAGGTCGTTGACTGGGTGCTGGAGAAGACCTCGAAGAAGTGAACGAGATAATGAAGAATCAGTGGGGGGAAAAAAAGCTTCTTTGTTTTTTTTAAAGAGGATTTTGCATCAAAAAAGTGCATCTTCTGTCACATTTTACTACATTCATGAATGTTTGATGTTTTAAGCCTTTCTGATTGGTCTTAAACTGTTACACTAAGCCTGTTTTAATTAACTTAATCCTTTATTGAATTTTGTTTTCTTCACTTTTGAGGAGATCATATAGCATTTTACCATGTTAAGCTTTTGTTTGTGTGTTCATCCAGCCTGATAAACTCCCAGTGCAGAGTCTGAAACAGGAAAACAGACAAACCGACACAGTTCACTCTGCAGAGGCCACAGAGGCTTCCATGCTGGCTTTAGTCGTCTTTTCTTTGTTGCGGTTTTCAAACATGATTTTAAATCTTTTATCCGCCTTTGTTTCAGAGCACAATAATAGTTTTATGTTTTGTTTGAAATGTACATATTTTATCTGTTTTCAACACAATAAATGTATTTGATCTCATGTTCTGCACAGCGAACCTCCACCTGAGCAGGTTTCTGAAGCGAAGACAGAGCATCTGAATGGAAATGATCCGTGGGTGTGTGCACAGTGTGTGTTGTGTCGAGGAAATATGTAATTTATTATCACTTCTGACAGCTAATGGCCCCGTCTGGAAGGTAGCTGCTGTTCAGACAGTGACAAAAAGCCACGAGCGCCGCAGCACATTATGCAGCACTGATGATAACTGACAATCAGATTGCTCCTGTTTGTTCTCAGTACAGAAAAAAAAACTAACATTCATCATTCATCTCCGCGACAAAATGCAATGATTGTGTCCAACACTGTGACTTCTTTTTAAAAGCAGCAGCTCAGCACAGGTTTCTGGAAACAAAAAGCCTTTGTTCATCGCCAAGTTAACGAAAAATAATCAGCTTCTTTGTGAACTTCGCAACAAATTGCCTTTGACCTGGTCGAATCTGTCGCCTGATGAGAATCCAAGAGAACACGTTAGAGGTATTTTAAAGAGACATTCAGAGGAATACAACTCCTCCAACAAAGGCCGACGTAAAAGAGAAGACTGACTGAACTAGTCTCCAGAAATGTCCTCCACGCTGACGAGGATTGTGTCTCCTCAACAACTAAAGTACTGAAAAAGTGAGGTTTGATTCTGAGTAATTAAAGTTGTTCTGACTTGTTGCATCAAGTTCCTACTGTGGGGCTTGAATTCTTTAAATACTAAATCTAAACTGTCAGATTTAAATTTTTGCGTAAGAGCAAATACTGTTAGAAATAATGTGATTACTGTTAAGTGATACTGTTTGAAATCATTTGACATTTAAGCAATATTGAGACAAATCCTTGTGTTTTGATGCTTGGTACAATGTTATTACATTACTGTCAGACAAATAGTCATTTGTTTGGTCATGTAGAAGCACATGAGCGCTCAAACAGAATAATAAGTGTTTTTGTTTAGCCCTCAACTGATTAAATACCAGCTAACGTTATGTTTTTTTTTTGCAATTTTTGATACAAATCCAGAGTTCGTTACAGTTGAAATGACATAAGATAAGGACATGTAAGACACTTTTACCAAAAGTGTCCTTGTTCTGCTCAGGACACTGAGGCTTCACACTGTCTTTCTGTTTCTTTTCTTTTGGCTGCAGGTTCTGAGCTGGTCTTCCATTGTTCACCAGTTTGTACCACTTGTTTCCAAAGAGCTACAAGGTAAGTTTCCTCTTTGCAAAAGAAGCTTCAACTAAATCCACAGCTGTACACACGCTGTAACCAGTAAAGAAATGTAACAGTTTCTCTATTTAACTGCATTTTAAAAAAATATATTGTTGATTCGCTTTTTGGGGACAACGATACAAAATCTTTGAATTGCAACAGAATCAGTGTGAACATTTTCTTGTCGTTGAATGTGTCGTGCTGTTAAAATGAATCGATCGAAAAAATGGCTCAACAGTGATTCTGCAAAAAAATTCTTTCAGTAAAATAGTAGTTTCTGGGCTTAACTGCAGCTCCACAGGTATGTGCATACCACTGTAATGGGCTTCACCACTGGTTGTGCAATTTGTACTAATTTATGCCAGTGCTATGCAATTTAGTACTTGGTATGTGCAGACAAATGTTATATTTTTGCATGTTCACCTGACCTTCACTAAAAATACACAAATTAAAATCATTAAAAATGCATTTTATATAGTGTGCAAGGTTATCAATTTAAGTTTTAAGTTATCGATTTTGTTGTGAGATAACAAATTCTTGTACACGTTCTCAAAACACTGAAAACCACCTTACAGTATCCAGGATGGCACTAAAACTGCCCTAATCTAAGTAAACCTTAGATGTAAGCACACTTTGTTTAACATCTGCTGCTACTTTGTTAATATCCAAGAGTCCACATTAAGTTGTGTTTTTCATAGCGAGTATACAGTTAGGCGTATTAAAGAGCATCTAAACAGCAGAGTCTGATGTATTTAGTGTGTCTTTGTGGGAATGGACCTTCACATAACAAAAGCGTGTTATCTGCATGTACCGGTGGTATCGCAGTACAGCACCAGAACAGATAAAACAGTTTACATTGTACCTCCTACATGAGCATGAGACAAACTGCTGGTAGAAAATGACCAGAAAAGGAAACACTTTGTGCAGAGCAGGAGCCACTTATCATCAGTCCTTGGTATATAAAGTGATAAGAGAAACTTGTTCTCCCAGTCAGGAAACTAAAACATGTTTTCTTAATGTGTTAGTCAAACATTTACACCACAAGACAAAGTCAGATATGTAACAGTTTGAAACAAGGACAGAAACGCCAAACTGGAGCTCGAGGGCTTCGTGTGGAACAACAAATCCACTGCTAAACATTAAATCTGCAGGATCTGGTGCAGTGTTGTGGTTTCTTGGTTTGAGTTTCAGGAGCCTGAATGATTTACAGGCGTGTTCTGTGGGAACATTAAATGAATCAGACGAGATGAGTCGGCCATCTGTTGCTGCTTGTTGCAACATATAAATAAATGTTATTAATGGCCGTGAGATGTCCTCGTTCCAGGGACTTGAAAATGAAGGTAAAGAAGAAAGATGTGAGACTCAATCAGATTTATGTAACCAAAGAGGTATGAGAGGTCTGGTTATTTCTGAACTGTTTCATTATGAAAACTCAGGGTGAAAATTGTTCCGGCTTCCACTTTGCAGGGAAACGTCTCGGTCTGCGATAATGCAGCTCCATCACAATGCATCTATTCAGCCATGAAATCTGCAATCAAAGCGTCACTCCCTCTTTCTTTGTGCTTTAAAAAGAAAAGAAAAAAAAGTGTCCTGTGATGAATGCGCAAATGATTGTAATTTATAAATAACAGTGCAGTGGATACACAGGGTTAAGATCACACATGACCTGTAATTGCAGGCCTTTAATATTGTCCATGAGGGGGGTTAACGGACTGTTTGAACGCCGCTCCATGAATACACGCGGCTCGTGGATGTTCATTACATTTGGGTACTGTGATCTCTGGCGTGTTTGTGAAACTCCTCGTTGTTTTGGGGGGTTTTTTTGTGTGTTTTTTTGCAATCTGGAATTTGCGCTGAGTATCTTTGAACTTCTGCGGTGGATTTTGGCAAGACCACAGCAAGAAGTTAGAAAAACAAATTGACAGTCAAATTATGTGCAAGTATAATTAATAAGAAACTAGTTGAGTTGGCAGAGGATGCAGAGGAATACATCTAGCAACAATGCAGCAAAGTTTTTGTTTTATCATGTACAGTAAATAGAGTCCATGACAAAATTCACGATGGTCTGTGTGGACGTACGTATGCGGCTCTGTGTCTGCATGGCCACTACGTTACAGGGTGTGAGTGGAACTAGACTGGAGTCTGTCCAGCAGATTAGAAAAGTAGAACAACTGAGCATCCATGATGTACGCAAGGGAATACAGTCTAGGCTTAAGTTGGCCTGGGTGCTGCGGTTGATACGAGGGGATCCAGTAGGCGTTGGTCTGTTATACAACAGTTTGAGGAATGAAGCGGCTGCAGAGCCGGACTGATCGTCTAGTCCAGCCTATCAGAAGGCAGGAAAATGGCAAGGTTGGGGTCCTTCATAATGCTGCGCTGAGCTGCATGGAGGGGAAAGAAGTACCAGTGATGAGGTGGTCAGGATGTTCTCAGTGGTTCCTCTGTAGAAGGTGGGGGAAACAAGCTTCTTCAGCAGGCGAAAAACAATGCTATGCTGCCTTGTAGCAGACTGAATGTACCAATGAGACCCGGACATACTGTCACTTCCAACACTAATCAAAAGGAGCTGCTGTAATCTTCAAGCAGCCACACTGATGTTTAACCTCATGTATAGAAGTGACTCTTAGCGCGATGATTGATTCTGTCCCAGCACTGGAACTGTAATGAGCTGTAAGTTGAAAGAAACAGAAGTCCCAAGAGAGCCAGGCTGACAGGCTGCTACGTTTGTACATTTCATACAACAGTAATTAGCAGACTATGGGAGCCACGCTGACACTCAGTGCTCATGTGTGTGTGTTTAATTGTAAGCATCGGTTTGTGTAGGTGGCTGATTTTGAAAGGGTTCTTCAGAGTGTGACGGAGCTCATTTTGGTTGCAAAAACAGTAATGCAAAGAAACATATCACCAAATGAGACTTAAAGTGGAGCCATTTAGCTGAAATTACAGTCGGACTTCTGTCCAGCCAAACACAATCTGTGCCAAAACTTTACTCTGAAAGAACAGACCAACCGTGACCAGACAACATGTCTCCACCTCTGACATGCTGCTGAAAGACACGTTTTTTAATAAGATTTATTTATTTATTTATTTTTAATAGAATCTATTTGACATGGGCAAATATGTTTGCTTTATTGCTGAGAGTTCGATGAGATGACAGAGTCCGCTCTCCAATAGCATCGAATAAATCCAAAACAGTTTGGCAGTATTTTGGTCTAGAGAAAGGAAATTAGGCTTTCGGCAGGTTGTGTCAGAATAAACTGGTGTGTAACCACATGACTGGAGTAACGCACAACAACATTCTGCACAGGCATGCGGCAACAAGAAAGCCAAAGCTAATATATTTAGTCCTCAATGGATTTTACCACAGGCTATGGAAGAGGTTCTGAAGTGAACTGGTTTAAGGTTATTTGATCTGACTGATGACACCAAAACTTTTGTCCGTCAGAGGAGATGCTTAGTGAACACCAAAAACTGCATAGTATTACAAATACACCATCCCCTCCTTGAAGCATGGTGGCGGCAGCATCATGACGTATGCATAGCAGAATGGGATGAAATGTAGATGTCCAATGTTCATTTGATCAAGTTTCACAATTTTAACTAATTGCTTGGTAGGAATCTGTTTTCACTTTGACATAAAAGTGTGTTTTTAGTGGGTGGTGATATTTTTATAGACACTGTACCTTTAATCAAACAAGTTATTTCGGTGGGCTCCGTATGGCTTCATGTTCAGTGTTCACTCTTCTTTTAGCTTTCTGTTGGTCTGAACTCCTGAAGGAAAGGTCTGGTTCTCCATCTGCTAAATTCTTCACATCTACCTCTACAAACACTTCACATCACACATTGTAGTTTGATTACAT